CCTGTGGGCCGCCTTGGCAGGCTCTCACGAGATAGACTCTCTTCAGCAGCTGGTAGGAATCCAAGATGTTCTCTCTTTTCTATGTCTTTACTTCAGGAGTCCTCCCCTTAAACAGTTGTCATGATCCTGAGCATGTGTCTGGATGCCAGTCCCATAAATCAATCCTGTTTTCAGTGTAAATTCCAGATGCTTCATCTTAGGGGGCAGACGTGGGGGGGGGGCGGGGGTGAGGGGAGGACAGTTGTGAAGGTGGCAGTGGTTTTCTCCAGAGCAGAAGCTTGCTGTGTCTTGCAACCCACACTCACCTTTGGTCTATAAACTCATAATAATGTGAATACTGGTAGCAACATCACCTCCCAGCTGTAAAGTGTCCTATACTTTCCAGAAAGCTTTGATACAATTCTATTTAAAGGTGTGTAGGGATAATAGAGTCCTTGCAATATAAATGCTGCTATTTAAGGGAACTCATTCGTCAGGAATGAAAATCCTTTTATAATGCAGATTAACCCTTCAGGTGTTACCCTGTGCCAGTTTTTAATGGATTGTCTGAAACGCCTGCATTTGTCTTGCATCCGCCCAGATCTCGTCCCTCTCCACCGGCAGTGGGGGGCGCGCCTGGGCCCCCACTTGGGTGTTTCCCGAAGTTGGGGCCCCATGTGTGTTGATTCGAGAGATGATTTTACGTGACATCTGGGTAAGGATTTTGCACTTAGGTGTTCAGTTAGGTATATACGTTAATGTATATTAGGAAAAATGTGATTTGTACCTCTTTTCCGTGATGTCATATGTCATACATGGGATAAGGCTGTGCTTTTAAGAACTCAGTTGTAAAGAGCAACACTGAGTAATGGCGCGGCAGGTGTGTGGGCGTGACCACACTGGGAAGGTGGGGTAGGGACGGCTGACGTTCGGAGACACTCCTGGGGCCCACGGGGCCTGCCCAAAGCCTCAGACGGCCAGGGACCCAGAATGCGGGGACCCACCCTGGGAAGAGTGGGATTTGGGCTCCATCCACCCGCCAGCATTTGCCCCTGTCTTCTCTGCTCTTTTTTGTTGTTTTGTTTAAATAATTTTATTTTATTAATTTATTTTTTAAAGATTTTATTTATTTATTTTTAGAGGGGAAGGGAAGGAGAGAAATATCAATGTATGGTTGCCTCTCGTGCGTCCCCTGCTGGGAACTGGCCTGGAACCCAGGCATGTGCTCTGACTGGGGATCGAACCTCGATCTCTTGGTTCACAGGCCCGTGCTTAGTCCACTGAACTACACCAGCCAGGGCTATTAATTAATTTTTTTTATAGTTGTTCAGGTGCAGTTTTCTGCTTTTCCCCCACACTCCAGCCTTCCCCTCCTCCCTCTGTCTTCCCTCCCCCGCTCTCTGTCTCTCTGTTCTTTATTCTGTGAGGAATGTGCTGGAAGGCACCTGCCCGGTGCCTGGTACCGAGGAGAGAGACTGGTGGATTCCCTGCGCTGTCAACTCGGAGGAGTGCTGGCCAGCCTGAGGCGGATGCCAGGTCGGGGCACAGCCCCTAGACCCTGTAACGTCTGCTCTGAGCAGGGCCCGCTGGGTGCTCCTTGCAAACTGGTGGGGCTCGGGAGCTGAATTCTGCTGATGGGGAGCCGCTTGGCCTACGGTTCTGAATGACAGGAGGCCCTTCGGTCCTCATCGTTGTCTTGGAGGAGATCACAGCTCTGGTGCCTGGGCTTGGCCTAGAACCAGACAAACCTTTGGAGGCTGTTTTTAGTCCCTACTGTAGTACACCAGGCAGAGCTGGTTTGCCCTCACTTGCTGTCACTGTCCCAGTCTGAGTGACTTGACCTGTGGATTTGGGGGCATCGAGTTGACCAACTTGGAGGCTCGCAGATGGTGTAAAATGCTGGGGCGAAGGAGCCCACCATGGCCGCATTTCATAAGCTCCGCTGCGGGAGGAAGCGCGGACAGTGTTCCTGGGCAGGCAGCTTTGTTGTGTCGGTGGGGGCCCCCCCCCGAACTCCAGAGCACGCACCCTGGGGGTGCTGGGCATGGGGGGCCCCTCCGCAGGGCTCTTGGGGACAGAGACTGTCTTCCTCACTTATGTTCAAAGTGCTTGGCACCTCTCGAGGCACAGAGTGAGTATTGAGCCCTGATATTTTATGAGATGAGAATAAATTCAAGAAATTTCAAGAAACAATTGTGAATTTCCAGGTAATTCTACACCAGGAACATGTGGGGTCTGAGGAAAGCAAAGAAAAGATGGAAGAGGTTTTTGGTGGCCGTGGGGAGCAGGCCTGTTGTGATAAAATGTGCAGACTGGAATTTCATGTCCCCTCCACCCCCACGCCAGCCCAAACTTCAGAGGGATTGTGGCCCAGACTGGGGATTCTTGGGGGTGACTTTTTAATCCCTTTGGGGGGCCCTTTCAGGTCGGACTCCAAGGTGGAAGTCTCTTAAGGAGTGGGTGGGTCTCGCTGAAATGGGCCAGACACAGGCTCATGCCCCGGTGGATGAAGGCTGGGAGGGCTGTGAACCACCGGGTCCTCATCCAGCCAGCTCTGGGGTTATGGTCACAGGGTTGCCATAGTGACCTCCAGGACCTCAGACAGATCCTCAGTTCTCAGGGAACAGGAGGGGAAATGGGGCACAGCAGGGGAGCCCTGGCCCCAGGACCGGGGGAGCGCTCCGTTCATCCGTTCATCGGTCATGCTGGGGAAGCAAGCGCAGGGTCTGTGTGATGTGCAGCCAGGGGCAGGGCCCTGCGCCAGGCTCTGATCTTGTTCCTGGGGTGGGGGTGGGGGGGCTGCCCACCTGCTGCTCGGACAGCTCCGTGGTCTGTGACTCAGAAGAACAATGGTGACACCTTCTGGAGTGTGGGGTTTCAGTGGGTGAAGCCGTGGGCTTGTGCCTTAGGACAGTGCCTGGTACTTACGAAGCCATCAGTAACGGTCGTCCCTCCCTAAAGCTTGGCGCCCGCGCGAGGTTCCTACTGCCACTGAAACAAATTACCGCACATTCGGTGGCTTAAAACAACACGTACTTATTCACTTACACACGAGTCTACAAGGGTCAGCAGGGCTGCGTGCCTTCTGGAAGCCCTGAGGGAGAGAATCCGTTGCTGTGGCTTTTCCAGTGTCTAGAGGTCTCCCGTGTTCCTTGGCCCGTGGACCTAGCGGTGCAGCATCTTCCAGTGCCCTGCTGGTCCCCCCTCCCCTCCTCTCCTCTGGGTCACCGCACCTTTCCTCTGACCCTCTTGCCTGCCTCTCATAGGACCCTCGTGATACATAGGGGCCACCTGGATAGTGCCGGATAATCTTCCCATCTAAAAATCCTTAACTTAATCACATCATTCGAGGTCCCTTTTGCTATATAAGATAGCACATGCAGGTGTTTGGGGGATTAGGGTGTGGACCTCTTGGGCAGGACACTGTTCTTCTATCACAGGGTCAGATACCATTTCAGAGACTGGGGGTCGGGGTGGGCAGCAGCCTCCAGCACAGATCTGCTAACGGGCTTGCTAATGGAAGGCCAAGGGTTAAGTCTCACCTGGGGAACCAGTGGGAGAGCTGGTGAGTACTCACTCCCCCTTGCTGCCCGCCCGCCCACCCCCAAGGGGAAGCACCTGGGGGGAAGCCGCTCTTCTCAGGACCTGGGAGGATGCTTGAAAGAGAAAAGTGAGAGAGGAGGTTGTGGGAGCCGGGGAAGAGCACAGATTTGGTGTTTCTGGGTGTGAGACCCTGGGCTAGTCCCATCCCTCTTCCAAGTCTTGTCTGTCTCCGTGTGCACCATGGAAAACTGCAGCACCCGCCTCAGCGAGGTATTTGAAGGGCAAATGAGAACGTGGAAAGGACTTACGGGCCTTAGTAAACGTCGGGTGCCCGCTCGCTGGGGGTGTCACGTGGTGCTGGGCTCCAGGGGCGTGCACAGGAGTGTGATGCAGGCCCTTCAAAGGCCCCACAAGACCCACGGGCAGGTAACGGGATGGGCTGCCCACAGGTTAGGGGGCCGGTGCCGCAGACTCCAATGTGAGGGCTGATGCTGCAGGCCAGGGGCTTCGGCTACACCTTCAAGGAGAGGTGGGGCTCAGACGAGGGCCTGGTGGGCATTCGATAAATACTTGTCGGGTGAATAAGAACTGAAAGAGTAACCTAACTGAGTTCCCAGGTAAGCACATTTCACAGTATTGATATTCAGTCCTTGACAGACATCAAGTGTGAGGGGGCTTACTCCTAAGATTGATCGGCTTTGGTGTGTAGAGTGGAGGGAGGAGAGGCAGGGCCAGGAGAACCGGCCTGTAGAGCAGGTGCTGTGGGCCTCACCGCAGCAGCGGAAAGGAGTGGGTCAGGAGGGAAGAGTCTTGGTGAGAGATTAGCAGGGTGGGCGTTCAAGGCTACCTGGGGCATGGTCTCCACCGCAGGGATGGAGAGATGGGCGGGGGCAGGAGGCCAGCTGGGGCCTGTGCCTTACAAAAGGAGGTGGTCAGGATAGTATGGGGGCCCCACAGCTAGCACCTTTCCTTGTGAATTTGAACCTGGGGACAGGAAGGTATAGTCAGAGGTACAGCTAAAAGGCCACACAGCTGGGTCCCCATGGCCACTTTCACCCCATTCTTCCCACTCCTGCCCTCCTGTGGGACTGTGTCCCGCCTCAGTCATGGCTCTGATTTCCCTTCTCAACTGTGCCCCCCATCAAACTACGCCCTCCCACACGAGGCCAGGTCCTCGGTTGTCTCACTCACTGTTAGATGGTTGAATTAGGTGGGTGGATGGGTGGGTTTGTATCAAGAAAAGAAAGTAGGAAAAAAGGATGAGAGAGAAACAAAGCAAGATGCTAGTGTGGGAAAAAAATGTGAGTGGTAGTTTTTCCCTTTATATTTTCATACTTGCCAAATTTTCAGTAATAAGTATATTTGGCATTTATCTCCTACTAAAGTGATAGAGAAAGCCTAAAGGCCAGAAAACAGACCAGTCAGGATTCTGGCCTCCTTTCTCATGAGCTATTGGCTTTTGGTTTGTTCTTGAACAGGTGGAAGCCGGGAAAGGCCTGGAGATGAGGAAGCTGGTTCTCTCAGGGTTCCTGGCCAGCGAAGAGATCTACATTAACCAGCTGGAAGCCCTGTTGCTGGTGAGTATATGCTCTGGGCCCCTCTGGGCCCCCTGTTGGACAGTGTCATGCTCCTAAACTGCTTTTGGAGTTGGAAGGGAAGGAGGACCCGAACCAGTCCTTCCCTGTGGGCAGGTACTGCTCTGCTAGCAGCTTGGTGCCTGGCCACTGGGGCCATTGCTGCAAAGGGCCTCCATTCTCCATTACCTGCTCTGGGAAAGGCAGGAGAAGAAGCACGGCTGGGTTGGGGGTGGCAAACTCCGCATCACCCATGACCGTGGCACGGGCATTACTAGTCGACTTGTCCATGTGAGGCTCTACCCACCGCTTCCGTGCTGTGCTCTGAGAGTCTCCATCTGTCCATCCAGTTGTGACCTCTCCATCATTGCTGGTCCTGTTCTTCCTCCTTCCTGCCACGGTGAGCCATTTGCGCTGCCCCAAGGCCCTGTGGCAGGAATGGGAGGGGGAGGGCTCTCTGTGCTGTCTGGAGACATGCCATAGCTCCGAGGCATTAGACCAGCCCCAGCCCTTCCTGAAGGTGCCTCAGTTTCCTCTCCAAGATGGGGGCATTGTTGTGAGAATCTGACCGGCAGGGGAAGGCTATTAAAATGTTTTCAAAAAGTAAAAGTACTACACAGGTGTAGGATGTTTCAGCCTTTGAAGAAAGTGCCTATTAGATGTGTCTGGAGATTATGCAGCGTGATTATGGCATGTAAAGTTTTTCTCCTCATGGGTGCTTTGCAGTCAGAGATGTAAGATGCTACCAGTAAAAAGGGGGAATGAAAAATGTAGATGCAGCCCTGGTGGGGCGGCCCAGTTGGTTTGAGCATAGCCCTATACACCGAAAGGTTGCAGGGTCGATTCCTGGTCAGGGCACATACCTAGGATGCGTGTTCGATTCCCAGTCGGGATGAACTGATTGATGTTTCTCTCTGTGTGTCTGATCAGTGAACATATCCTCAGATGAGGATTGAAAAGAAATGTAGAGCAGATACATTTATCTGCAGTGTTGCAGATAAATGGGGATTCCGGTCTGGGGCCAGAGCTGGGGCCAGGTCAGCTCTGCCATTAATAACAGACACATTGCTAAACAAATCATGCGTCTGGCCAGCGGGGGTTGGCCCAGCATTTAAATACAAATGAGGACGAAAATATCAGCACATATCATATAAGTTTCCTGAAGCATGCGGTTTGTTGTATGTTCGTGCGCCCATGTGTGTATGTACTGGGCCATACCATTTTTTACATGCGTTGTAGGACTTGAAAACCACTGGCTTTGGGCAAGCCTTGTGTACCTTCCTTCAGCCTCAGTTTCCTCGTATGTGGATGAGAATAATACCACTAACTTCTCTCTCCTCTTCCGGGGGTTTGGAAGACCAGGCGATCCTTTGGGACCTAGTACAGAGCAAGGTACTCGGGCCCTCAAATATTAACCGAAGGAAGGAGACCAGGCAGGTGACTAGTCCGGTACATGAGAAACACAACTTACAAACTGTGAATTACTGTACCCAAATCAGAGGGTGTGGTCGGCATGACTAAAAGGATGCATGTTTGGAAGGAGTTCGAACGAGGGAAGAGTGACCCCGCTGTGGATCCCTGCTTGGCCGCTTACTAGTTCTAGGCTGGGGGCGTCAAACTCATTTTCACCGGGGGCCACATCAGCTTCACGGTTGCCTTCAGAGGGCTGAATGTAACTTTAGGACTGGATAAATGTGACTGCTCCTTAACTAGGGGCAAGGAGCTCAGCGCTGCCGCCGGGTAGAAACAAGGCGCCGGGCTGGATCCCGCAGGCCTTGTGTTTGCCACCTGTGCTCCTGGCCTTCAGCAGATCAGTGAACCTTCGTGCCTCGTTTTCTCCATCTGCGAACTGGGTATACTGGTGCTAGTGCAGCGGGTCCTTGTCATACTGTTGATGAGATGCCCTAGAAACCCAGCTCTTGCGTGTCTGTTAGCCCATGGTAAAATTGGTTTTACTTAAAGCCACAGAACTTGTGGAAGACACTGAAGACTTGACTTTGTTCAAGGGGTTGTTGTGGGGATTCTGTGAGTCGGTACCGGAGCTGTGTACAGGAAGCTCTTTGAAAAGAGCCAAAGTGTGCTAGCTGACAGTCTTATTTTCTCCAGTGCGGGGAGAGAGTGCAGGTTTGGGCTTGTTTGTCTCTATCTACACACCCTCGTCCTGAGGGAAGGGGAGGTGAAGCCTGCCACTCTTGGTTCCAGCTTGTGGTTGGTTCTCATCTGTCACTGGGACTTGAGTTTCCGTTCCAGTCCCAGCAAAGATAACAACAGATTTAGGGGCCAAGACACTCCCTCCCCAACTCACTTTTCTAACAGCTGGTGCCCCAAAGGCAAAAACTGTGAGGCTGAGGCCCTTCCTCTCCCCTCGGGTTTGCTCACCGTGGGCCCCTGATTGGTTCTTTCCTGAGCGGTGCTGAGAGTGAGGGAGGGAGGGACACACCAGCTGAGAGGCCTGGCCTGTGGCTGGAGGGCTCCAGGAAGAGAGGGCAGGACCCACCACAGCCACTGCCTCTGCTGATAAGCCTCAGAGATAAGGAGTCAAGCCCTTCCTCCCTCCTTGAGCTGGGAGCCCTCCCCTCTCAGCTGCCTTAGTAGCTAAGCCCTTTGCTTTTTTGGGGTGATCTGACAAAGGAACTCAGAGGAGAAGCTCCGAGCTCCCTTCTTCCTCCCAGGCATCACCCCGCCCCATGCCCACAGCTCTGCTCCTAATGCGTTTGATTGTTCTCAGCTTAACACTTCCTGATAGGCCGAGGGCTAGGTGTGTGTACCCAGGACCGTGTACACACGCAGGCGCAGACCGGACTCTGCACAGGAGCCTCTGTTCCCGCCCCCGGTTGTGGGCTGGGCAAGGCTTGGTCATCTGGACTCCTCCAGGTTCCTGGTGGGCTCAGATTACAAATGGAGTGGGTTTGAGAGTCTGGGCTGGGGAGTGGAGACAAAGTAAATGCATGTAATTCTGCATCCATCCTGTCTGTGCCCCCCACGCCCACCCGCACCCCCACCCCCACTTGGAGTGATGAGCTGGGTACCGAGTCTGGCTGCACCGGCATCTGCAGCCCCTCCCACCGCCAGGCCTCGTCTGGCCCTGCTCTCTGCGACTCTCAGTGACTCTGGCATTCGTTTGCAGTTCCCAGGCCCGTGGTGCTCGTGCCGCTTATCTTGTGAAGTTGACTAATGATGCTCTTCTGCCTGGACCCCAGGGACCAGGAGGTGATAGTTAGTACGCAGGCCTTGCCCGCTGCCTGCAGGCCTTCTGGGATGGGAGGCAGAGGAAGTGGGCCTTGGATTTTCTCCCCCAGTTTCTAACGGCAAATTGCCAGAGGACAGAGCAGACAGATGGCTGTGCACAGTCCCACCAGGAGTGAGGACCACCTCGCCCTTCTTCCTGAGAAGCACTGCACAGGACAGCGAGAGCCAGGGTAGGCTCTCAGGTCCCTCAGGGACGCCCTCTGAAAAACCCCTTCTCCCCTGGTAACACGGACAGCCCTGCCCTGGCCCTCCACTGCAGGCTTGCGGAGGGTGGGAGAGGAGGAGGAAGCTGGCGGCTCCTCCCTGGCAGAGGAGGTGCTGGGTTGTCTGTGCCTTTTCTCTGGAACCACCTGAGGCCTCTATCCCGGGTGGCACCAGAGAAAAAGACCTGCCTTCCACGGTCTCCAGGCAGCCAGGGCACACACTCGGCGCTTTCCCCTCCCCACCAGTGAAATAGGGCAAGACCAAAGGTCCTGAGAACCGTCTGGTGCGCCAGTGCAGGCCTGTCCATGTGGCCTGCCGCCAGAGAGCACCCATTTCTTCCCCTTTTGTAGGCAGAGTGGGAAGTTGAGGAGGAAGCAGGGCACCAGTAGCCTGCCCTGCGACCAGTGCTCACAAGTGCTTCCCCAGCAGCTTCTGAGAAATCCTGACTCCTGCGCCTTCCCAGGACTGTTCTCTCCCCATTTCCTTCATTCTCGCCTTGGTGAAGACAGTGCCCTGGCAGGGGCCAGGGATTAGTGGTTCTGGGACCGTGTGGTGACTTGGATGCTCCATCAGCCTCTGGGCAGAAGAAGGAGCGTAGATTATGACAGTGATCCTGAGACAGTGTCCCCTGCATGGAGTGCCGGGGGCCTGAAGCCGAGTGTGGCCGCCACCTGGGGCTGGGAGAACAGTGTTCCTCTTTTCCTGACTCCTGGTTCCTTCTGCTCCCCTGCCGGACATGCTTACCCAGGCCCCACCTCTCCACTTGCCCAGATCTTCCCAACTTTCAAGGCCTGTTTCTGTCACCTCCTCTGTGAAGCCCTCCAGGTCGCACCAGCACAACCTTGAGACCAGTCGGTTGATATTCACAGTCCAAGCTGGGTAATGCCCCGTCTTGCTTTGTCCGCTGAGGGGTTTCATTTGTGTTGGTCCGGTTTACCCAAAGAGAGTGTAACATTCTCCAGAGCAAGGATTGTGAGTCATACAAATAATCTCCTGAAGAGAAAACTGGACTCCGTCATTCCCCTGCTTAAATCTCTCCAGGGAAAGCCAGGTCATTGCTTGGGCTCAGAAGCTGCGTTCTTCCCCCTGCTGTGACCTGGCCGCTGCCCCACCCCCACTCCAGCCCTCCCCCCGCCCCGCCCACTGCACACAGGCCCCTCCGGCTCCAGTCCAGCTCCTCTCCCACCTACCAAGCCTGTTCCCGCCTCAGGCTGGGGTGTTGAGGAAGTCTTCCTGGAATACTGTCCCCTTTGCCCTCGAGTCTCCATTTCAGGGTAAATGTTGCCTTCAGCACCTGTCTCAGAACATCCCCTTCTTGCTTCGCTCATTGCACGTGTGCGCGGTTGTGTGCTCGATTACTTCCTTGGGTTCTGTCTGTCTCCCATGCTCCATGGGAGGCTCCACGGGGGCAGTGACCTGCGAATGGCAGACCCCTGACCCTGCAAACCCCCGTCCCAGCCTCACCTTAGGCACTTAGGATATTATCTGTGGGGTGAGTTGTAATAATAGTAGCAGCCAACATTTGCGATTGCCTTCTGTGTACTAGGTACATAGCCAATTGTTTTATATAGTTAATGTCTTTAGTCTTCCTGTTAGTGTTCTCGAGAAGGTAATATCACCCGGCATGATGGACGAGGCTGCTAAGGCCCAGAGATGCTGAGTGACGTGCCCGCAGCTATTAAGTGGTAGAGCTGGGACCCGCACCCACACGGCCTGGCCGGCACCACCCACGGCGCAGCCCGTCCTGCTCCCTAGCAAAGAGCTGGACATTAAGGGTTGGCTGGTTTCAGTGCCCAGTGGGTCAGAAGGAGGGCTTCTGCTTTTTCTTGCCTTTTTCATCATGTCTGGACCTTTCTAGAGCTGGGAGGACCCAGAGGCCAGGAGATGGAGAACTGTCTGGGTGTCTGAGTAGATAGCACTTCCTCTTGTGGGCAGGCGTGGGCCCTGCCGCCATTGGAGTGCGGCAGGTGGGGGCGCGGAGCGAGGCTTGGCCGGCAGCGGCGCGGCTGTGGCCAGCCGGAGCTGGTGGTGGTCTCTCAGAGGGAGCCGGCGACGGCTTCGGTCCCCCTCAGTGTGGCGCGCCCTCCAGTGCAGCACCAGCTCACCCATTCCCTGCTACAGTGCTCCTCTTGTCGGGAAGCTCACTGCCTACTCCTGTGACGCAGTGGGGGACAGCTCCAGTCAGTGCACACCTGCCCCCGTGACTTCTGGCCGTCCCCGCGTCTCCAGAGTGGCCCAGACGAAGCCAGAGGCCTCGGTCCACGCATCAGCCGTGTCTGACTCGGGCTTCTCTACTCTGGGGGGGGGACATGCCCTCCCCTCCCTTGCCTTCTCTTTGTGGTGGCTTCGGGACCCTGTCACCTGGAGGGCCTTTGGGGCGCAGTCCGGGCTTTAGGCTGAAGGAAGGGCAACCAGCGAGGAGCTCTTTATCCTTCAGGATCAGTTTTGTTTGTTTGTTTCTTCCTGATCATAGGATTAGTGTTTCTAAATCACTCCCTGAAGGTGATTTAGAGGACCTGGAAAATCACACTGAAGAAAATGCATCCAAGCCCCATAGTCCCACAGTCCCACGGCCGGGCATGAAGGTGGTGGCCTCAGGCCTGAGCCAGCGCCGGGCGAGGGTCCCCGGTCACTGCCTGTCTTCTCCGCATCTCCACCTTCGGGCCGTGCAGCCTCTGGGTGTGGGCGACAGAGATGACAGACAGGTTTCATTTTGTCTGTCCACCTTGGCATTGAGAGAGTCCAAGGCTGCAGCCAGGCTGAGTGAGAAGGATCAGTGTGGTCCTGTGTCAGTGTCCGCCACGGGTACAGGAAGCAGGATGGTGGCACCTGTGCCTCCTGTTCGCTCTCTCGGGACGAAGTGACAGCAACTTGAAATACCAGCACAGCCGAGTCTCTTCAAGACTCTGTTCCCAAGTCCTAGAATCAAGTGTTATTCCTTGGTCCCTGCCACTGAAGGGTGGCGAGAGAGCTTAGGACGGGCAGCCTAAGGCCGCTGTGGAAGAAAGCCACGGGTGAGGGGTGGGGCTACGTGCCCTGGTACCACCCTTGGCCCTGGCTGCCAGGCCCCCTCTCCTTGCACTTACACTTGCACGTGTCGGGGCCTGGGACAGCAGCTACTTGACGCGAACCACACTGCAGGAGCCCGCCGTCCGCGGCCTTGTCCAGGCAGAACTGCGGCAGCAGGAAGGGCTAACCGGGGCCCTGGGCTCGCTGATGCTGATGTACTTGCCCGCTCCTTTTCCTCCTCTCTCCCAGCCCATGAAGCCCCTGAAGGCCACAGCCACCACCTCCCAGCCCGTGCTCACCATCCAGCAGATCGAGACCATCTTCTACAAGATCCAGGACATCTACGAAATCCACAAGGAGTTCTACGACAACCTCTGCCCCAAGGTGCAGCAGTGGGACAGCCAGGTCACCATGGGCCACCTCTTCCAGAAGCTGGTGAGTGTCACGTTGATAGAGGGTCCTTATCCAGGGCCTCAGTGGAGCTGCTGCTGGGGGTGAGGACCAGTCAGCAGTCAGCCCCAGCCCTCCAGGTCTCCGTGGAGCTCTCCAAGGTCTAGAGGAAAGCCTGGGCCTGGGGCCTGGACTCCTGGACTCCCCGCGAAGCCTCAAGTGTTCTAGGGATGCTGAAGGCAGGCCGTGAGCAGAGATGCTCCTGGCAGGGCACTGCTTCTCTCCCTGCTGGGGTTCAGGTCCCCTAGCCCTACACGGCAGGGGCATGTGTGTGGCGGACGGGCAGGGACTGCTTACCTGAGACCTCAGACGTTTGCTGCAGGGGAAGGAAAAGGCTGGAGCGGGTAGAAATACCGAGAGGCTCAGAGTTGGGAAGGCTGGCAGAGGTCTTCACGTGCCCAGGGCTTCCGCGACACCTTCTCCCCTAGCTCTGTGTCTATGTCTGGCTGTGTCCCCTGGAGGACCCTTGGCCAGTGGGAAGGGCGTCAGTGGCCGCTGTTCTCAGGCGTGAACGTTGGGGGGCGGGAGCAGTGCCTCTCCCCTTCCTCCCCTGCGGTGCTGGGGTGGGCTGAGTGGACAGGCCTCGACTTCCCTTGCGCTGGAGAAAACTTGCTTGGCTACTCCCAGGGCTTTACGCTCGGCGTGTTCAAAACTGAACCATTGTTTCTAAGTCGTTTGCTCTTCCTGCCTCTGTCTCAGGGGGCGCGGCCACTATCCTTCCTGCATCCATCTGGGACTCCCGTAGACTTGGCGCTTTCCCTCCACTGCCCCCTTCTCCCTCCCTCTCTCCTACCTCCCTGAGTCCAGGTCTTTAATGCTCACGGCCACCTGCTAGCCCACAGTTCTGGGGCCTCACCTGGACCACGGCCGTAGCCTCATTAATGGCTCCTGCCTCCCGGCCCACCTCCCACCTCTGCCTTAGAGTAGGAGAGTTATCTGAACTCCCCACCGGGCCTCCCTTCTGCCCTGCTTGAATCCCTTTAGTGGCTCCCCTCTGCCTGTTGGGTGAGGACCAGGCTCTGAGCAATGACTTAGGGGACCCTTCAGATGCCACCTTGTGGCCACACCCGGCCTCTGGCTGCTGCCTCCCCCATACCCCTGACACTGAACTTTTTTGAACTTTTTTTTTTAGACATTTTTTAGATTTCTTAAATTTGTTTTTCTTTAGAGGGGAAGGGAAGGAGAGAGGGAGAGAAATACCAGTGTATGGTTGCCTCTCGTGCATCCTCTGCTGGGAACTGGCCTGCAACCCAGGCATGTACCTTGACTGGGAATCGAACTGCGATCCTTTGGTTCGCAGGCCGGTGCTCAATCCACTGAGCTACACCAGCCAGGGCTGGACCTTCTGCTCTCAGCTCACACTGCAGGCACTCTTGACCTCTCTGTACTTGAGACTCTAGCTGCGTGAAATGTCCTTTCCTATCTGCTCTGGCTTCACCTGGTCAGTTCCCAGCTTAGAAGTGACCTCCTTGGAGGAGCCTTCCCCAGCCCCTCGAACGCAGCCCCTCCGGTTACCCCCTTGGTGAACACTCTACCTACCTGTCTCCCCAAAACCATAAGCGCCAGGAAGGCAGGCTGTATGTGCTTCGTCATTAGATCCTCAGAACCAGCCCAGTGCTGAATGAATGAGTGAATGAATGAATGAATGAATGAATGCGTGCACTGGGGCCGCAGAGAACTCAGAAGGGCATTGTGGGAGATGTCACAGGGCCTGAGGTCTGCGTCCTGAGGGGCCGGCAGTGTTGTAGGGACAAGCACAGGTTCTAGGGCCAGGTCACAGCTGGGTCTGAGCCAGGGTCTGCCACAGACAAAACCTGTGTCATTGGGCCACTTACCCAGCCTCTCTGTGACTCGGATTCCTCATCTGTAAACATGAGGATCACGGGGTTCTCGTGAGGACTACCTGACAAGTACTTGGAACAGGGCCGGGGACACAGTAAGTGAGCAGACACTCAGGAGATAGCCGTGGTCGCTACTGTGGTCGGTGCTGTTATCATTACTGTTGTTCCTGTTATTAGCATTATTAGGGAGAGACTCCCCAGGAGGTGCTGCAAGGGAATTCCTTGCTCCTGGTGCTGGCAGCCCCGGAATGCCGGCCCCATTCAGGGACACCCTGTCACCCATTCAGAGACTCTCTGTCACCACTCGGCCTGGTCCCAGAAACCTGCGCTAATTGGCTTGGGGCAACCTCTCTTTAGCCCTCAGAAGGGCAGAGGAGACCAAAACTGAGAGCAGGAGGGTGCCTACTCTGGAGAGGAGTGGAAAGGCTGGCCCTGTTTAGCTTTGTCATTTGGACCCTGCTGTCCCCAGGGTTGCCCATTCTGGTCCCAGCTCCCTGGGCCTGGACATGAATATGCCGCCCACGTTCCCTCCCCCAGCATCACAGACTGAGATCTGAAGCCCTAGGGGCTGCAGGCCTGGGTGGAGCCAGAACAGGCCGGGCATCTGACCACGTGTTTTCCGATGGTCTCCGGGTATTTGATTATCCATCACGGAGAAGGGAATTAGCATGTCTGCTGTTTGTTTTATGAGATCACTCCAGTGCCAGGCTGCTGTTTCCAAGCAACATCCACTTCCCAGTCAACAGCCCTGGCAGGCCGGGCCTTGGGCCCTACAGATGAGGGTGTCTGGTGGAGATGACAGTGCCTGGGATGGCCAGTGGCCCTGCATTCAGGCCTGCTGCCCGGGCTCCTGTGTCTGGGTCACCTCCTGCTGCTCCCTTAGGCAGTGAGGTGGGAGGGTAGTGTTCCAACTGAACGTCTGGCCTTGACTGTTCTCGTGGGAAGGGAGACAGGAGAATGCATATCTGGAAGAATAGCAATGATTTTTACTTTGGTTCAGGATGCTATTGGCTAGCACATCCTCTGTAGCTTGGGACACCAGTGGGCCAGTACTTCCCCCTGGAAAAGGAGACAAATGTCACCCCTTCCTGCCCTCCCCAAGATGTTTGTTGGTGGTGGTGGTTTTTGGGGGAGTCTGGCCTGTCTGGGGGCTGAGACCCGCATGGCTCTGACCTTGGCTTCTCCACAAGCATCCCACTTCTCACACCCCCTCTGGCTTTCCTGGGCCCACTGTCAGCTTCCTTGGGCTCTGTCTCTGCCCAGGCTGCTCCGGGCCCCTGGCCTCACCTCTTTGGGTCCCTGAGGAGCACACAGATCTCAATCCAGGGTAGCAGAGCAGTCCAGGGTAGGGCTCAGGGCAGCGCTCTGGTGGGAGCCCTGAGGAAGAAGCCCCCCAGCAGCTGAACCTCCTTGCTACATCACTGAAAAAAGTGTAAACCAGAAAATCTGGAGAATAGTGTAGCAAACAACCATGTTCTCGCCTCCCAGAAGTAACAGATGTTGAGTCTGAAGATGCAGGGCAGAACTTTGTAATCAGGAGGATAAAGCATCACGGGTGGAGGGGCAGGCCCGTCCCTCCATCCTTGGAGCAGCCGCCAGCGTGAATTTGGTGTGTGGCCTTCTGGGCTGCAGTGTGCCATTCACTACATATCTGTACCTTGTCGTGGCATTGCATGGGCTTTTTAAATGGACGTACGTGTACACATTTTCTACTTTTTGCAGTTCAGCCCATCGATTTGAAACTTGTCAGTGTTGCTTCCTGTAGGCCTCGTTCATTCATTTGAGCTGCAGTGTGTGGGGGGGGTCCCTTTTTGTGAGCGCTTGTTTCCAGTCTTTCCGCCAGAGGGGGAGCGAGGCGGTGGGCACCGCGCACAAGTTCCTCTAGTGCAGCGCTTCCCTGTGGAAACATAATGCCCATTGATAATGGACAGTTTTCTAGTAGCCACATATCTAATCTAATATTTAGGTGTAAAAGTACACAGGTGAAATCAATTTTAAGAATATATTGTATTGCCCTGGCCGGCGGCTCAGCTGGTTGGAGGGTCGTCCCGTACACTGAAAGGTTGCAGGTTTGACCCCCGGTCAGGGCACACATGTGGGCAGCCAACTGATATTTTCCTGTCTCTCTCTCTCTGTCTCCTTGTTCTCTCCCTCTGAAACTGATAAACATATATTTTTTAAAAGAATATATTGTATTTAGCTCAGTAAGTTTAAAATGTCATTTCAACATGCTAGCAATATTTGAAAATTAATGAGGCCATTTACATTCTCTTTTCTATGCTAAGCCGTTGAAACCCAGTGTGGATTTTATGCTTAAGGCACCTCTCAGTCTGGATGAGCCGCATCTCACGAGCCCACACTTAGTGAGAGGCTCCTGTCGAGGACAGCAGAGCTCTCCGTGGGGAAGTGGGTTTGCTAAGCAGTGGGTGGAACTGTGTGTGTTTTAATTATCAGTTATTGACAAATGACTCTCCGAAGAACTGTACTGATTCACACCCACAAGCAGTTTGTGGAAGCGCCTGCTTCCCCACCCTTGTGCCAGCTCTTGGTATGACTAGACCTTTACATTGTGGCCCGATGGATGGCTATAAAATAGTATTTCACTGTCATTTGAATTCACATTTCCACCCTTTGCCTCCTTAAGAGGAAATGCGTACGCACAGCACAGAGAAAGATTTCCATAAATAGCTGAGGAATTGAGTGAATGTGCCTTGGTTTCCCCTTTTGCAGAAAGGGAAGATGACATCTGTTCTGTCTCCCAGAGGAGTTACAAGTCATGAAAAGCTTCGTTTCAGGTTCATGCAAATGTGTGGTGAGGCAGGGCCTCTGGTTCCTGGCAGGCGGAGGGAAGTGGGGACTGGGCCTTGAAAGGTTGTGCCTCACGCTGAGCGTGGGGCGTGGCTCCCTGAGCAGGCCACACCCACACATGCCCGTCCGACTCCTCCCCTGTCTCTCCCTGATCCCGCTAATTCCAGGACGTGAAAGAGGTGTGAGACACTGAGGGGCTTCAAACCGTGAGAGACCTTGATGATGCTAAATAAAGCCAAATGCTGCTGATGAATTGAATTTCTGGCATGCCAGCCAAGGCCCTATCCTGCTCCCCCAAAGCCCCCTTGTTAACCTTATTGGCTGAGTCAGTTTCCATGGAAACCATCAAGTTCAAAAGCATGCTGTAGTATAAGCATCCTGCCTTTGCCCTCTCTTCCCAGCCGCCCTTTGAGCTGAGTTAGAGGTTCTGAGTGCTAAGTGAGCGCCAGGTGCTCGGGTTAAGCTTTCATCCATTCACTAATCCTCTCTCCCCACCCCGCTCCTGCCCTCCTCTCTCTCTCCTCTTTCTCCTTGCAGGCCAGCCAGCTTGGCGTGTACAAAGCCTTCGTGGATAACTATAAAGTCGCTCTGGAGACAGCTGAGAAGTGCAGCCAGTCCAACAACCAATTCCAGAAGATCTCCGAGGTGGGCACCTCCCCGCAGGCCACCCCTGTGACACGCGGCTTCTGCGGCTGCTCATAGCCTTCTAGCCTCTGAGCCTCCCCTTTCCTGCTTGCCACTTAGGGAAATGGTCCCCCGATGGGTGACACTTAGCCTGACATTTGCTTTCTTGCACTTGACATTTTCCCTCTTAATGTAAGAGCACCAGTGTGTTTGATTTTTGTCATTCTGTTTTAGGTTATTCTGTTAGAACAGGGGAGGCCAACAAAAGCAGTATTTCCCTCACTGCAGTGACCTCGAGCAAGTCACTTCCCTTCCGCTGGCTTTTGTTTCTGTAGCATGAGGTGTCTGACTTGCCAGACTTGATAAGAACCACAGGGACACTGCTTAAAATGCAGGTGTTCAGGCACCTCCCCTGGAGCTTCAGTTCAGCAGGTTGGGGGTTGGAGGCCCAGGAGTCTATTTTTAATAAGCTTCCTGGGTGATTTTCATTGATCAGGGAGATTTGAGGAAGTCTGGGCCAGGCAGGCTTTTCAGATCCCTGCGTTCCCCGCGGAGAGCACAGTGGCCACTTACGTAGAGAGAAGCCACGGGCTCTCCAGCTGGAAGTGTATCTGCTCCTGCCCTAAGCTTTCCCTCCACACCCCCTGCAGGGCAAAGATGTGGCATTGTCTGCCATCACTGCTCCAGGACGCGCAGCGCAGGGTGCGGCTCTGGGATCCCTCACGAGCACAGCCCAGCTCACCCCTTTAGCCAGAAAGATCTCGGTGACAGCCCCAAGCCGCTGGCCTTGCAGTCAGAGCACCCAGCCTCAAGCTCAGGGCAGGAGAACCCCTCCTCCAGTTCTAGGGAGCGGGAGCCCCTTCTGCAGCTTCGGTGGCCCTGCCTTACAGGCTCTCTGGGCCCTTGGCTTTCTTGCCTCAGCTTTGATGCTAGAAAAGTTGGTGAGATGCAGCATAGTTTTCATGAAACTAGTGGGTTATGGGTTATAACCAGGTTCGAAACTGGCCTAGACGTAGTACAAGAGTCAGGTGGAGGTGCGAGTGTCTGACTTGACTACAGGTAAAAGCCAGACTGGAAAAGTGTGGACTTGGGTCTGTAGCCGAGTTGGGCTTGTTAATCCGTGGGAGCTCTCCACAATTCAACACGCCTACTAGGGCCAGAGAGAGGAGGGCTGAGCTCGGTTTCTCATCCCAACCCCAGGGGTCAGGTGAGTCACCCTCTGCCTCAGAGGACCGAGTGACGGGCGGGGAAGTCCCTCTCGGTGGAGTCACAAGGCTGGAGAAAGGGGCCTTCCCTTCACGGCTCCCACTTCTCCTTGGGAACAGGCTGGGTTCCCTAGCCCTGTGTTCAGAGAGGCCTGCCATGGCTGCCTGGGTACCTGGGGTCGTGTATAGTCCAGAGCGGGGGGGGGTCCCCTCTTGTGGTGGGCAGAACCCCCTGCGCTCATCCCAAAGCCCCTCGCAAAGCCAACTGGCTCCAAGGGCAGAGCCAGCGGCCTGCTGCCAGGTGGCTCCTCACCCTGATCCAGGCGCTGACGCTGTCTCCTCCTACTGGAGCTGCCGCCTAATTACTGCAATTAGGCCCTTCTCCTCTGCGGCAGCAGTGATTTCATACCTCTAGGCTGCACTGGGGGGGGGAACGGAGAAAAATTCCCTAAAACTAGGAATCCAGACACCAGCCAGAGACATCGACGTGAGGAGCTGAGTAACCCCCCTCCCCTCTCCGCCTCCCAACCCCAGGCTCAGGCCCTGGGGGTTTTCTCTGTCTAGAAGCAGCTTGAGGCAGGCTCAGGAGAAGGGGAGCTCCTGCTGCCTGAGCAGTTCCCCCCCACCGCCCAGGCAGTGGGCAATATCACTTGGGTACCTGACCTTGGCCTCACCTCGCCCCCATCTCCCCCTCCCCACACCTTAGATGTCCCTCTGTGCACTCAGCCCTCCAGTGGGGATTGCCTTACAGCTCCAGTTACAGGCCTCACTGGTCCTTTGGCAGGAGCTGGAGCTGGACCTCTCTCAAGGCAGATAAGAGAGGTGTGGGGCGGATGCGCTGCCCAGGAGTCTGTTTGCAGCACTCACTGCCGGTCACTCTGCCCAGGATCCGCACGGCGCGTTAGCTGTTTCTTCCCCGTTTTCTCTCTCATGCCCAGCATCAGCTGCAGAGGGAGGGGCGTGCCAGGTGGAGCTGGGGGCCCAGTGAGTCCCTCCTGAGTAGGCTGTGGAAGTAAGCCTCTTGGCCCCAGGTGTGTCCCTCATCCTGTACAGGTGTGTGGGACCCCTCACTCCTTGTTGGAGGAGCTGCTCTTGTCCCCGGGATCAGCTGGTAACACCTGGTGCTTGTCCACTCAAGGCTGATGTGTACAGACCCCTAAGCTGTGGCTGCTGCTGGGGACACCCTGGGTGTCGGGGGGGGGGGGTGTCCTGCTCCTGCTGCCTCTGATTCTCTGGAAGTTGCAGGGGAGGGGCTTTAAGGGACAGGTCTGAGGAGCATGATTACCAAAGTCCTCCTCGCCTGCACCCTGCTGCTGGGCCCCGGGGCTCCAGCAGACCAGGGGTGTGGCGCCGGGAGGCCCTTGCCCGTGGTCTTCGTCTCTCTGGTGTTTGGGGCCCTGGGTTTCAGAGCCCTCCTTCCCCCTGTGCTCACCGTGGGGGATGGGCAGGCTCAGGTACAGGCCGGGCAGTGATTCCTCTCCTCTGTTTGGCAGGAACTCAAAGTGAAAGGTCCCAAGGACTCCAAGGAGAGCCACACGTCAGTCACTATGGAAGGTACTTTGGGGGACAGGCTGGATAACAGCCCCTTCCTTTGTCTGGCTTTGTGGACTGTGGTGCCCTGCTTGTGCGAGCGTGTGCACGTTCTTGTGGGAGTGTGTGTGTTTGTGAGCGCGCGCACGGACTCAGCCTCTGCCCCTAGGCAGCCAGCCAGCTACAAACGTGCTCCTCCTTAGGACGCCAGCCGGCAGCCAGCTCCCTTCCTCCTTCTTCCTCCCGCTTCTTCGTTGTCGCACCCTCCCCTCTCCTCCTCCCCTCCCCCCTGCCCCTCCCCTTGCTGGAGGAGCACTCGGGAAGCGGCTGCTTGATTCTGGAGGCTGTTCAGCAGCAGCGTGCAAGGTGGCTGAGTGGCTGGGCTGCTGACGGGAGCCGGGAGCGATGGCCGCGCGCTTCTGCTCCTGCCACGGGGACAGAGGCTGCCATGGAAATTCTCCTCATCATTCGCTTCTGCTGTAACTGCACCTATGGTAACCCAGGCCCCTCTCATGGGAGGTGGTGTTTCTCCCCACCGCTGGGGGCTGGCTGGCTGGAGTGGGCTTAAACGTGGCCGTCAAGGTTTGGGGGGCAGCTGGGAAGGGAGTGGCAAGTGACTGGATCTACGTTTACCCCGGTTCACCAGCTTCCAGCCTGAAATTGAAGTCTGGGGAACACTCGGGGCAGGAATGGCTTAGAAAGGGAAGGACCCGGCTAGAAGGGCCCAGGTATCCCCTGAGTGTCTGTGTGGAATTGATGGCTTAGCTTGAGAGGCTGTGGGCAACTTCCTGGAGAGGCTGTTAAAGACAAAGTGACAAGACTGTCCCCGCAGGTGTAGCAACCTAAAGGGCTGGAGAGGGGTCAGCAGGGGGCCCGCAGAGTGACAGGTGGTCGGACAGCAGCACCCTGGACGAGGAGGGCGCGGCCGGAGTGAGAAGTTGGGAGTTTCTTTGTTTCCGGAGAGGAGAGGAGAGGGGGTTGAGGGCCCCGGGTATTGTGTGCTCAGAGAGCACATGCTGCCTTCCAGACATGCTCTCCTCTCAGACCAGCGGCCGCGGGAGACCCCGGGAGACCCCGGGAGACCTGGGTACGGTTGGGAGAGCAGGAAGGAGTGGGCTGCTCCGAGGGGTTATCTCCAGTCACTGGAGCCCCCGGAGCTAAGGTGTTGGCACTCAGCGAAGCTGGCGGGAGAGGGGGCGTGGCGGTCTGCTGCTCCGTGAAGGTCACACACCCACCGTGCAGTGGAAGGGATCGGCCCTTGGCAGTCCCCTCAGTGAGGGGTCCCGGGACAGGCACCTGCCGTCAGCCAGGTATCTCCCTCAAAGGAGGCTGAAGTTGGCCCAGACAAGAAGGTGTCGGGAAGCTGGCGGCCCTGCTCTCGGAGGCAAGAATTGCCTTAAGGATGACCCCAACCACCTTTGGCAGGGGTGTGGGGTCAGATGTTACCTCTGGGTCCCTGCATGTTGGAGTGGCAGGCAGCTGGCCCTGTCTCTCCCCTCCCACCAGGCGCTTTGTCTCTGTACCCTTCCCAGTCACTAAGCTTTCACATCTCCGTGGTAACCTGGAGCTCCTTATCAAAAGCTGAATGGGGCGGTGGGGGTGGGGGCAGTGTGCTGAAGGAGAGATGGTGGGGTTTCCTGGGCTCTCTCCCAGGGGCCACTGCCAGAGGGACTGCTGTCCCCTCACCTTCTCAGGCAGTCCTATGTCAAGGCTCCTGATGGAGGTGACCCTGTGCAGGCCCTCTCCAGCTGCCCCAGCAGGACAGCTCTGGAACTCTAGTCACTGGGCAGAAGCCACCCTGTGCTCGTGCCCTTCAGCTCAGATTCTGACAGGTTGGATCAAGAGAGGAGCTAGGCTGGAAATAGCCTGTTCGAAGATCAGCAAGGAAATGCTCTTTTGATCTGACCTAGGAGTTGGTCAGGGCTCACCTTTGCCTCCCTAGAAGGGAGGGGGCCAGCCCTTTGCTTCCTCTTCCCTCCCCCAAAGAAAGCTCAGTCTTAGTGAAACAGGCCTGGGACCCGGATTTCAGGGTTTTTTTTGGTGCCTGTGATGCAGGCTTTGAACTCAGCCTCAAAGCAGGGAGTAAGGAGTGAGCGAGCCCTTGCTACTCACACTGTTTAGAACCTTCTCCGCTCCTCCCAGGGATGCCGGTTCTGAGGGTCCCATGGAGACTGTGCAACTTGGGGCTCACTCTGGAGTTCACGGCTCTTTGTGAGCTCTGCAGGGCCCTGTGCCAGATGCTGTGGGGGGTGTGAAAGAAAGTCATGTGTGACCCGGGTATTCCTTCCTTGTGAATCTTTCTAAGAGCAATTTACTTAACTTCTCTGTGCCTTCGGGAAGTTTCCTGTCAGTGAGGTGGGGCCAGTGCTAATTGCTTCCCTTTTGAATCAAAGGAAATAATGCATGCAAAACAGTACCACTGGACACAGCAAGTACCCAGCAAGCTAGAGAAAGGCTGGCTTACTCATGTCAGTGGTCTGACTGCAAGGCACTGTGGGTATTGTTTGCAAAAGTCCTGGTCAGGGAAGGCTTCCTTGGGGGGGGAGGATAGGTGCTGCAGCTTGGTGAATCGTGTCTATTCCAGGGACAGGAACGGCATGGTGAGGAGTGGAGAGAGTGGGAGAAAGAGGGCAGGACGCTGGGGGGGCAGGTGAAGGGCAGGAACAGGGGAAAGGCGGGCTCCTCCCTCTGCATCCTCAGGGTCAGCAGGCAGGTAGGAGCCCTGGGAAGCATGAACGTCAGGTTGCTCCTCCTCCCTGGTTCCTTCCATATGGGGCTGTGTCCCCGGGGCCTCTCCCTGCACTTTCCTCCCTGCTCACTTCCTCCCAGCTGCCCTTTCCTCACCTGGGCTGAGGTGCAGGACTCATTCCACAGCTCCCATCAGGTGGAGTCTTGAGGTGACCACAGGCATATTAATAACCCGTCTGAAACCCAACCCACCATTTGTGCAGCCCTCTGAGCTTAGTCAGAAACCTCGTCCTCCTGGGACCCGAAAGAGAGACACAGGGAGCTGACGCCGCAGGATCAGCTTTCCCTGAGTGAACTTGAGGGCTCGCCCTGGCAGGGGTCTGCTGAACTCGCACTTTCTCTTGGGTCTCCTGGTTCTCAGGGTGTGATCTCCTCCCAAGATGAGTGAAGCCACAGGTGCACACCCTAAACAGCCTCTGAACTGGACCCCGCTGCCCCCCCCACCCCTCAGGGTGGACTGGACTCTACCCTCACTGTCCCAGGATACCCCCGGCCTGGTCTTGTCCCTTCGGGCTTGCAAAGTCCAGGGGGAGGGGCTCTAGAAATTGCTAAATTAAGAAAGGGCTACAAATAAGCCATGGGAAACACATTTGCATAAAGCAGTGGTTTTCAGTGATTCCCGCATATCCAAATCGGCCAAGGAGCTTTTTAAAAAATGCTGATACCCAGGTCCCCCCCGGCAGAGCTTGAGATTCAGTTCCTGTGGTGAGGAGAGCGAGGCTGGCAGCTGTGTCTTTTAAGAGCTCCCCAGTGATTCTAATGGGCAGCCGAGCAAAGACTGCAGATGAGGCTCGTGGCGCACCACTGAGACTGCGCCTTCTCCGCAGCCCTCGAGGTGTCCCCGAAGCACCGGCTTAGCGCTGCACAGGGTGTTTCTGTCTCGGGCTTTGGGGGACTCTGAGGCTTGGGAGCTGGCGAGAACACGAATGTCTGCTCCCAGACCCATCACCGTCTGGTCCTGCAGGACACCCAGTCTAGGGTTCTCCTCCCCAAACCAGCATCCTGCCTCATTGCTCCTATAGCAGGGGGACGGGGGTCACGACCCCGCGGCCAGAAGCATGCAGGTGCAGGACTGAGGGTGAAGCATCCATGTTGGGAGAGGCCAGGCACAGCTGCTCGCAGGCAGCTTTGTTTGGAAGTACTGCCCGACCAGCTGCTGCTTCCACCTGCCGCTTCCACCTGTCTCTGCCGAACCCCAGCAGTCCTCATTTGGTGTCCCGGTCACCGAGGGGGGTGGCGCATAGCGGTCTGCTGAGCTTGCATTTCCCCCCACCTCTTCACGGCTCCCAGAGGTCCCACTCAAATTCCTTCAGGAAATCTTTGCCCCCTCGGCTGCCACTGGCTTGGAGCAGAGCCTTTCTGTAGAGTCGGCCTGCCTCCCTCAGCCTGCCCTGTTTTGTCTGGGGGTTTGAGGGCACGGAGAGGGGTCTTCTCATGGAGATGAGGCTGGCTATGTGGGTCAGAGGGAAGCCTGCCATTTCCAGACGGCAGTGCCAGGCCTTGGACCAGGGGAGCGTGAGAGTGATCGGGCCCGAGGGAGCTGCCCTCCCTGGAAAAACAGCACGTCTCCTGCCGACATTCTGGGGCTCCAGGTGTGACCCAGAGTGTGCTGGAGCTCTGCAGGGGAAGGCTAGGCGCATAGCTGCCAGGGCAGGGGGCTTACAGAGGGGCACCTGCCTCCACCCCATGAGCCTGGCCAGGAGAGGGCCCAGGCCGCCAGGGAGGTGTGTCTGCCTGCTGTGCTGTCTGGCCCGGGGTGAGAATGGAGGTGTGAGTTGCTGCAGAACCTGCTTGTCGGGGTGGGTGTCCTGCACATGGGCATCTGCTCAGGGCAGTGAAGCAGGTCGGGGGGCGAGACAGGTTCCTAAGGCCTCGAGCTGCTCCTGGGTCTCATCTGTCCTGTCTTCTCCAACAGCTCTGCTCTACAAGCCCATTGACCGAGTCACCAGGAGCACCCTGGTCCTACATGTGAGTGTCAGAGCCCCGAGTAGCGAGGGACGGGTCAGGAATTCCACGAGAGACTGAGCCCAGAGGGGGCAGGTGCTGGAGTCACTGAGCACAGCTCATCCGGGAAACTGGACAGAGGGGCCTCGGGCCTCAGCTGCGCCTGCCTGGCCCGCGGTAACCGTGCCAGTGGGGCCAGGGCCTAAATATAGCTGGGCCACTAAGCTTGACATTTGGCCAAATGCTCCCTCGGAGGCATGCACTTCCTGCCTCACCGTCCCTTGCCTACTGTTCTGCGGTGCCCTTGGAGCAGCTGTGGGGCGGGGAGACGGCCGCCTCTCCCAGCTGCTTGGTGAGAGGAGACTCCACCTGGCTCCCCCACACACACAAGGGGGGAGAGGAATGACTTCAGCAGAGAAATAAAGGGCCCACTGCCTTCACTGCTGCTGCCCCTAATTTTAGTTCAGATTTCACAGGCAGGACCAGATTAGTGTGGATCCCTGAATGCCCACCCCCAGAATTCTTTTAGTGAAGATGAAGTGCTTCCCACTGTCTTATTAAAGCCCCTTTAGAACCTCCCTCAACTCACCACCCCAACCCTCTCCAGGACCTGCTGAAGCACACACCTGTGGACCACCCGGACTACCCGCTACTTCAGGATGCTCTCCGCATCTCCCAGAACTTCCTGTCCAGCATCAACGAGGACATTGACCCCCGCCGGACTGCCGTCACAACACCCAAAGGGGAGGTGAGCTCAGGGCCCAGGGCAGCCGCTCACCCGGCAGCCAGATTGCCTACCCCTGCTGTCCCGCACCCACAGACACGGGGCCCTGTGCCCTGGGCTAACAGCTTTACATCCAGTGTCTCATTAATCTTTATAATCCTCACTGACAGAAGAGGAAACTAAGGCCTGGGGAGTCTCTCCAGGTGGGGTGTACCTCTCAGCCACTGTCAGCACCGGATTCTTTAGCTGGGGTTAGCTGTCTGTAAGCCCCGTGCACTGTCCTCCTTACCAGGACTCAGGGGGCTCTGGCTGTCTTGGTCTTAACTACAAGTACCCTGCTGTACCATGGGTGATAGGATGCCCGCAGGGTCCCCCTGGAAGATAATGGCCCAGTCTGAGGGAGCTTGGGGAGTCTGAGGGAGGGGGAGCTCTGCCTCTGATGAGCCTGCACGAGCAGGTGGGAGAAGCCAGGGAGAGGGCCCTGTGGCAGGAAGAGCTGGTGGGAGAGCTGGCTGAGGCAGCCGGGTCACCGGAAAGTCCCAGGTGAGCACCTAGATGTGGTACAGCAGCTCCAGTTCCCTGGGGGCCCTTCCTGGAGGAAGGGTTGGGGGGGTGACCCAGTGAGGAGAAGCAGTTTGAAGAATCAGAGAGAGAGTTACCGGCATGGGTCAGCAGCCTGGCCCACGTACAGCACTTCCTGTCCAGCAGAGGGAATTGAGTGGCGTTTAGGAGCGCAGGCTGGCTGGGTTTATGTTCCTTTGTTACATTTATGAGTCCCCAGTGTCTCCTGGGGAGGGGAGTAATGAGGGACAGGATCTAGAGAGTGACTAATGAGCACAGAGAGCTGTCCCTGCTTGCAGCTCCCAGCCGTGGTTTGCAAACCCTGGAATGTCCCTTGTTTATTTGACTCGGGGATTAGCTGAAAGACGCCCAGCAGACTGATAACACTATCAGTTTCAGATCATTTCGGTGGTACACTTTCCACATACTTACCTCCATGTCGTAGGGTGTGCCACTATGACGTGGTATGTAATGCAAGGAAGGCTGGGACAGATCGTGGCAGCCCCGGGGCTTCCACTGCCTCTGAGGGGGGCAGGAAGGAAACTCTGGAAGTTCTGCACGAAACGGCGCTGTGGACCCTACAGTGCCCAGGCTAGAGGTGGTGGCAGGTTCCCCTGCACACAGCTGCAGCCTCAGAGGGGAGCCCAGGGCCTCCCATCCGTCTGGGCTGGTTGAAGAATTTACTCAGAGGTAGTAGCATCCACAGGCCTGAGAGGGTCTGCAGGTCGAGATGAACTGAACCTAGATAACTTCTCAGACAGGACTGTGGGGTGGGTGTTGTGGGGGTGGGAGTGTTCGTGCCCCAGGGTAGAGGAACTTAGTCATCCTGAACTAGGGTCCGTCCAGGTGGAGCTGTTGAGAGCTGCAGAAAAGCTTCAAGCTCCCATATGTTGGTCTCACCTGATGTCCTGGCCTCGTGCCATTGTGCACGCATCGTCCTGGTGATCCCATCCTTATGGGCGGCCATCATTAACCCCCACTTTACAGATGGTTAAACTGAGGTTAAGTGAGGTCAGGAAACTTGCCCAAGTTCACAGCTGGGAAGTGGCAGAGTCTGGATTCAAGCCCATGTCCGTGTGACCCCCAAACCATTGCTCTTAACCAGCAGGCACTACGGCCCCTCCCCGCAGCCCGCCCCTCAGCGGGATGGTGCGCCTGAGCAGGCTGGGCCCCGGGCTGACCGTGCCTGAGCGGTGGGTGGGTGTGCCATCTCCCTCAGACGCGGCAGCTGGTGAAGGACGGCTTCCTGGTGGAAGTGTCAGAGGGTTCCCGGAAGCTTCGGCACGTCTTCCTCTTCACAGATGTCCTACTGTGTGCCAAGCTCAAGAAGACATCTGCAGGGTGAGTGTGCGTGTGCCCAGATGCAAAGTTGGGGAGGAGCTTGACCCTGCCCCCCTGTGGAGCCCCGTAGCAGCCTGGAGCAATCTGCATGTTTTCCTTTTTTAAAAGCATATTAATTTATTTTACTGCACAGTCTCTTTCTAAAAATAAATGATGTGTTTAATTATAAAGATAATATAACCAAATTACAGACCAAAAAAACCCACCACCCATCCGAACATAAGCATCAGTCTCCTGCTGTTGTATTTCCTTCCAGTTTTTTTAATGTCCTTACACGTTTTTCCAGAGACTTGTAATCAGAGTGAATGCCCAATCTGGGGCTCTGCTTTTTCCATTTCACGTCATAAGCATTTTCCCTGTTGCTGCCTAATCTTCATAATCATCACTTCACTTTCCTGCATGATGTTTCGAGTAGATATGCCATAATTTACTTAAGCATTCTTCTTTTATTAGACGTCTCTACATTTTTGCTCACGAGCCATAGTGAATATTCATTAAATCCGCTGCTCTCATTTATTGAGTGGGTCTGCCATGCCAGGTGCCACGACAAATGCTTCGAATATTTTATTCCTAATCTTCCCAACAACTTTGTAAAGTAGGTATTATTTCCCAAGTCTCACAGATGACAGGAAAGAGAATAGCAAAATAAGTTGCCCTGGGTTGCACAACTAGAAGTGGAGGAGATGGGATTCGAACCTTAATCTGACTTGAAAGCCGCTTTCCACCTCCTTCTCCAGACTTAGTGATGTAGCCCCACTCTGCGCCATGAGCAGAGAAGGTTGTTCGGTGTGCATCCCACATTCTTTCACCTACCGTGTGCTGAGTACGCTGGCTTACAGTCCAGGGGAGACGAGCCCAGAGCTCGCTGCGACACTGAGGTGCCGGGCGCGGACCCGCATTCTGGGGGGAGGGAGAAGGCGGGTTTTATGAGACTCAGTAAAGGGCAGGGCTCCCTGGCACTCGATCTGAGACACTTTAGGGCACAGGTGGCAGTCATAAGCAAACATGCCGGTGCCTTCAGTCCTCTGCCCATGGCAGGCTTGACTAATTAGCCCTGGCACTATTGCCCACTGGGCTCGGACATGGCTTTATAATCCTCCCTCTAGTACCTCAGGTGACCTTGGTTGATCAGAGCTGGCGTTCAAAATAACATTTGTGTTCCATCTCAAGCCTAAAGGATAATGAGTATAAGCTAAGCACGGGCAGACTGGAAGGGAGGGGAGAGAGTGAGCCCTCTCTTGCTCCTGCTTGAGAGGTTTGAGACGTTGCAAAACATCAGTCATACCCGACCAGAAGACTGGCACGGCCAAGGTCCAGAGCCCTCGCTGCCGCTTCCGCGCGGGTGTTTGCTGATTGGGCGGCTCAAGGACAGTGGATCATTTTGGACGAGTTCTCAGTTAACTGCTTTTAGGCAGTTTGGGGCTCAGCAGTTCAGGCCGAGCTCCTTCTGGCTCAAGTCCTCCTCTGGTTCATTGGCAGGAAGCACCAGCAATATGACTGCAAATGGTACATCCCCCTGGCCGACCTCGTGTTTCCGTCCCCGGAGGAGGCGGAGGCCAGCCCCCACGTGCACCCCTTCCCAGACCATGAGCTGGAGGACATGAAAATGAAGATCTCTGCCCTCAAGAGTGAGATCCAGAAAGAGGTGAGCAGAGGGGAGCTGGTGCAGGGGAGTCGGCTGTTTTTCTTGGGGCCCTTTGACTCGGCTGTATCGAGAAGTGCAGGCAGGGGAGGTGGTGAGGGCTGGGAACCAGATGAGGAGGGAAGAGGCAAGAGAAGGGGACCTCAGGCATCCACAGGCTTGGGGAAAGACTTTGGTCTCGGCAGATCAGCACTGAGCAGGTGGAGGGCGAGTCAGTGCTCAGAAGTCAGTCAGGTTGATCCTGGGAAATTTCCTGGAGAAGAGTGTGCGTCAGCACTATAGAAAAGGGGAGCAAGAGAAGACGCCTCCATGAGGGAAAGCAGGACATGTACAAGGGAAAGGGCCCAGGAAGCCTCCTACAAACCGACAGACCAGAGAGGCAAATACCAAGGACCCAGGAGCCTTGCACGCCAGGGCGCACTTGATGTAGAGATGCACAGAAGCCTGTGCCCTGACCAAGAACTGAGATTCTTCTCAAACACACGTGAAACATCCACACACACGGAACAGGCTTTAGGCTGCAAAGGCAATCTCAGATTAAAAAAAAAAAGTGATGGGCTACCTGTCCTGTTCACAGACTATGGTGCAGAAAAAGTAGAAATCAACAAGCAGAATATAGTTAAATATAAGCCTGGCAACTTTCAGAGTACAAAGGAAATCGAAGTGGGAACTGCATGAAAATGAGAGCCCTGCATATCAGAACCTGTGTGATGTAGTCAAAGCGCTATTAACAGGAAAATGCATAGCCTTCAGTTCGTATAATTGAAAGCAGAGGCTAGTGGAAAGCCCCCAGAAGTCGTCCCCCCACCCCGCCCCCGGTACATGGCAGGCAGGGCATGGAGGGGCTTGTTTGGTTGGTCTGCTTTCTTCCTCACCCATCCAGCTCTGCTTGCACCTCCCTTCCCCTGGGGAACCTTCCCTAATGCCCACCCACTGCGGGCTGGGTTGGGTGCCCTGCTTCCTGGCTCCTGACGTTTGCCTCTTTGCTTCATTGGTGCTGATTTATAATTGCATAGTCACCTTTTTCCTTTACTAACTAGGATCTGAACTCTCGCAAGGGGCTGTTTTATGTTCCCAGTGCTTGGCACATAATAAATACTTGTTTCATAAATGATTGTCGAGGAAGATGCACAGGTGGTCTCTAAGGATCCTTTCATCTCAGGCACCTCTCCTTGAACGGGGGAGGAGAAGGCCACAGTAATAATGCCAGGGGTATTTGGAAGCGAGGGTCTGCGGGGAGTGTGTCTGTCCAGAGGGAGCCTTGGACCGGCACAGGTGTGTCCCCCACCACCTGCCTGCCACATGGCCCGGCCCCACCTGGCCTCAGTGGAGCCTGTCGCCCCATCTGGTGCTGTCCACCATCCCCACCTGGCCCTGGGAGGCGGTGGGCTAGGTGCCTTGCCTCCTGCCCCGGGTGTGTAGACGCGGTCTTGCTCAGTTGAATCAGTGCTTACTGAGCGCCACTGGCTACGCTGTGCCTGCCGCCTCACAGAGCTCCTGGTGGGGGTGGGGGTGGGGGGACAGGCATGCACATTGCCGCCCACAGAGGAGTCAACTGGAGGGGCACAATAAAGTTGTTCCCTGAAGCACAGAAGCAGCAGTGATTTACTTGTTTAATAACATTTTTTAAACTTACTTTTTCCCTAATCACCAGTGTAGCCCTGGCTTGTTGTAAGGAAAACTCACAATGCCAAAGTGTGTAGAGTCACACTGACCGGTCGTCCCCGACCCCGCTGTGAGCGGTTCCAGGCGCATTCCTCCCGACTCCGCTGTGCTGGGGCTGGCGTGTGCGCACGCGCATTGTTTCCCACGTGAATGAGATTAGACTGCAGATGCTGTTTTGCAATTTAAGCTTTTCACTTAACAGGGCACCTTAGTTTGGGTCTTTCGGGTTCTTTCTAACGGCTGCATCCTATTCTGTTGCTTGACGCACAACAGTGCATTTGGGTATTTAGATTATTTCTGGTTCTTCACTCGTCAGTCACGGGCAGGTCTGCAGCCAGCATTGCTGTACTCATATGTCTTCCCCCTCACAGACTCCCTACAAGTGAGGTGTCTGGGGCAGCGGGCTTGTGCATGTACTTGCCAGACGTCCCTCTGGAAAGGGTGCGTCCTATTACCTTCCCACCAGCAGTGTGTGACAGTCACTCGCAACCCACGCTGTCACAACACTGGTCGTGAACCATTGTTACAGTCTTGCTAGTGTACTGGGTAAAAAAAAAAAAACCTGCAGAAATGAATTTCAGCTGTGGAGTTTGAGCGTGGCATGGGATCAGACTTGAGCATAAGAGTCATGAATAGAAGGGAAGGGTCCTTTATAAAACATGAACTTGGAAAACTGGAGAAGGGGACACCACCAGAGGGAATGGTTTATCAGAAAACAGGGAATAATACCACGAGGCCAAGGTGGAGGGCGCAGGGTGGGGTGTGGGGCGTGTCAGGCAGGGCACGGAGGCCGCGACCCAGCCTTGCAGGCCCCAGGCCAGGAATGGGGGCTTTGTGCAGAAAGATGTCTGAGGAATTAAGCAGGGTACTCAAGATTTAATTTATAGAGGTGACAGAAGAGGCTAATGCTACTAAAAGAAGACTTTTACTAATTACAGTCTCTAAGAGAAGGGTGGACACCACACCACACAGCCACACGGGGGAGGTTTGGCCAGGAGGCAGAAGGAGCGTGGGAAACCGTGGCCCGGAGCCTGAGTGGCGCCTCCCAGAGAAAGGAAGGCAGGGCAGGCACGGTGTAGGACTGACTAGTTTGGGTAATGCTGGCGGGGTCTGGGCTCTGGGCTCTAAGGCTGGCCCCAGTAATCTGGTACCTGGTCCTGAGTGACTTAGGGCAGGGGGATGCCGTGAGAATTACATAAAGGAGGAGGTTGGGGATATGTTAGGATTTAGCATGACCTGGGAGGAATAGTTTTCTCCCTGGCCACGTAAGCCTCCCAAGGTGTCACAGAACCATAAAGTATTGAAAAAGAAAAAAAAAATAAGATCAACACACGGGAAAGTTGTGCTTGGAGCCTCGGGGTGAGGGGTGGAGTCTGAGGAAAACAGTCTGTGCCCTCCGCCCCTGCAGAAAGCCAACAAAGGACAGAGCCGGGCCATCGAGCGCCTGAAGAAGAAGATGTTTGAGAATGAGTTCTTGCTGCTGCTTAATTCCCCCACAATCCCATTTCGGATCCACAATCGGAACGGAAAGGTCAGGATGGGTGGACACGGCACCAAGACAGCCCCCTTCCTCGGTCCAGGGCTGTCTATTCTCTGTGGCTCCCAGCCCTGACCAGTGGGAATGAGAGACTCAGGCCCCCATTCGCAAGGAGGCTGCTGTGGCTCCGGCCCTGGACTCCCTCTCCATTGGTGTGGAGCTAGTGCCCTCTGCTGGCCATTGTTGGCACTGCCACTCCTGTCACTGGGCTTCCCCCAAAGCCTAGGGGGTGGTACCTGGGTAAGAAGGAGCTTTGTTGGAGCCCCGAAATCCAGGAATTCACTTGGTCTGACTAGGGCCACCCCACTGAACTGTCATCTCCTGTCTTCAGAGCTACCTGTTCCTGCTGTCCTCGGACTATGAGAGGTCAGAGTGGAGAGAAGCGATTCAGAAACTACAGAAGAAGGGTGAGGTCCTGCCCTGCTCTACACTGCCCCCAGTGGCCCTGTGTATTACCAAGCACTTTCATGTCCTGGTCTCCCCTTCGGCCCCCACAGTCACTCTGTAAAGTGCCAGGGCAGGTGGCTCCTAATTGATGTTACTGAGCCATTGAGGCCCAAAGAATTTAAGTGATTTGCTTAAGGCATACGGTGAATTAGTGACGGGACTAGACCCAGGAGCCGCTCTCCCTCCCCTCCCCCTCTCACACACATTTGCACGCGCCTCTTTGGTTGGACTCCACCACTCTCACCCCTCTGATGGCACCCGTGGGAGGGTTCACAAGTCTTCCCCTTTCTTCCAGTGACCAACTCTGCCCTTAGAACCAAGTGGGTTTTTCTTCTGCAATAGCCCCCAAAGGGAGCCGTGGGCCCAAGTGGACCGCAGTGACATCCCCTTTCTCGGCTCCTCCCACAGATCTCCAGGCCTTTGTCCTGAGCTCGGTGGAGCTCCAGGTGCTCACGGGATCCTGCTTCAAACTTAGGACTGTCCACAACATTCCTGTCACCAGCAATAAAGATGGTAAGATCTGGAGCCCACGGCTGCCCACTCAGCAGGTCCAGTGCCCCAGGGCATTGCTGGGTCCTTCTGCAGGGACCTTGCCAGCTACCGAGGAAGTTTAAACAGGGGTTATCCATTTCCCCAGAAGGCCCCAGTGCCTCCCTGGTCCCCACTGGCTTGGGAGGAGAATCTGGCACCCTGGTGCACTAGGATTGTGTGGTTATTGTATTCACGAGGTGGTTAGATAGGAGAAGCAGAAGACAAGTGTGGGGCAGGGGCAGAGGTTGGGGTAGGAGGAAGGGGAGATGGGCTAGAACAGCGTGTGAGAAATAAAGCCAGGTGTTTCCAGGGATGCATCTCGGAGGGCCGTGAGTGCCCAGCAAGGGAGTTTGTTGTTCAAGCCCAGGCACCAATGGGAGGTTTTTGAGCTAGGCAGGGCTGTGACCAGGGCTGGCAACTGGCTTAGAGTGGGTGGAACCTGGCTGTCCGTGGGTGCTGGAAAGGGGTTTTGAAGGCAAGTTTTCCGCTGCCCATGAGAGTCACCTGCCCCGGCTGTGTTCCAAAGAGGAGGCAGAGATGGGCCTTCCCTCCCATTGGCACAGAGTGACTTACCGGCTAACTTTTTCTTTGAAAGGCTAGACTGAGAAGGGCAGCCACAGGATAGCAGGACCCAGAGGGTGAGGGAGAGCGCAACTGGGGGGTGGTACAAAATCCTGGGTCCAGGAGGGAAGGTGTGGAGTGGCCTGCCAGGCTGAGTGGAGGGTGAAGGGGCACCAGCTCATGGTCCTGAAAGCAGTGGGCTCTGGAAACTTCTTCATCTGGCCACCAGGTGGTGCTGTCAGACCTCGGCTCATGCCGTGTCTCAGATCCGAAGCTACTCGCCACCCCCACCCTGGGGGCTTTTGCTCTCTTGCAGATGACGAGTCTCCAGGGCTCTATGGCTTCCTTCATGTCATCGTCCACTCTGCCAAGGGGTTCAAGCAGTCAGCAAGTAAGTGTCCCCGACCACCAGCCCTAGGAAGAGGCTGGTGGGCTATTGTTCATCCTGTCCCAGAAAGTCCTTGTGGACCCATGGCGTGGGGCCTCCCACTGCCCACCTGCTCTGCTCTGGCCTGCCGGGCTGGGGCCCTGCTGCCGCCTAGAGATGTGGGGTGTGCCCCCAAAGGCTACGAAGTAGCTCCTGTGGGTGGGCAGGGACTCCTTCTGCCCTTTGTCTCCAAGTCCGCTGAATTCCTGGACTCCAGCCTCACATCTGCTGATCACAAGCTGTGTGGCCTGGGGCAATGCTCCTGACCTTTCTGAACCTCAGCTTCTGTCTCCATAGAAGGGATCACTCTTGTTGACACGGACCTAAGAGCAGGCTGCAGTGTGACCGGCCTCCACACACCGCCTGCTCTCCCTGGTCATCACCCACTAAATCTGTGCAGTTGTTGGCATTTCACAAGATACAATTACACTTTTGGTCTAGTTTTTCTTCTGCAGGAGTTTGTGAGTCAGTTAGACAGGTATTAGTTCCTCCCCATTTGCCAGATGAGAAAACTGAGTCACAGAGAGATAAAGGGACTTATCATCACACAGGATCAGAAACCCAGGGCTCCCAGCTCCTCTCCTTTCCGCTAGCCCCCTTCCCACTCCCTCCTCTTCCTCACCGGTGGGTGCCGTCTGCCCTTGGCCTCTCCCCAGACAGATCACTGTGCATAGGCCATGCCATTGGCTCACAGACATTCAATAAACATGCTTGCGAAGCCCAAGTTCCTGGGGCTCATCTACCTCCTCACTCTGTGTTCCCATCGCCCCAGACAAACCATGTTTCCAGCACCTGTCATACTGTTCTGTCACTTCAAATTTGCTTCTCCCATGTGAATTCTTAGAGGGCAGAACCATGTGTCCTTTATTGCTGGATGAATAAGAGCTCAGAAATGCTGACTAAGCAGTTAATTTCCAGATACCTACTGTGTGCCCGGGGACCTTACTAGGTGCTGGGGAAATAACAAATGTGGCCAGTGTGGGGACGTGCCCTGGTGTGTCACAGCCTTCTCCGGTGTACGACTGGCTCCGATCTTCCTGGCTTCTCGCGGAGTTCACTGACACCATTTGCATTTTACACACGAAGAAGCGTAGGCTCCGGGGGCACAGGGACGTTCCCAGGCGGCACAGGCAGGTCACGTGGGTGGTGGAGTAGAATCCGAGTCTTCCACCCCAAAGCCCACGCCCTTCGCTTCAGAGCGTCATCCCTCTCAGGGCGGCTGGGACTCTGCACGCGTCACTTGCGCTGTGCTGTGTGTACAGGTGGCAGCTTCCTGGGCCCCCCCCAGGCCCACGGAATCCCCCTCTGCGCCGGGTGGGAGGCATCGCCCAGGAATATTTCTGGTCAGTAAGCTCCGCGGAGCTGTCCCACCCACCTGAGTCGGCGGCTGGGCCGGGCGCCTCCCAGCTCCACGATGCCCGGGTGTCTCACCCTTCCTCCTCTTTCTGCTCCGTGTCGGCCAGGATGGGCCCGAGTGGCGGTTAAACATGGGTGAGCTGCTCCGAAATCCCTCCTTCTGTCCAGCCTGTCTTCTTCCCTCCGACTGGCTCGGATGTTCATTCTGACTTGCAGGGTTGGGACCTGGGAGTGGTGTTCAGAGTGGCTTCCTGTCCTGGTGACCTCACTACAGCTGCGTGGTCAGGCCGAGGGTGCGGGCACCATGATCACTCCGTTGTGCAGATGAAAGCCATCAGACAAGAGAGGCTGGGGGTTTGAGCAGAGCTCAGATTTGAACCCAGACAATCTGACTCCTAAGCCTCCCCTCTTTCCCCATGCACCAGCCCTTGGTCCCTGACGGAGGGTTTACATTAAATCAATAAATGGAGATGGGCCTGCCTGCCCCTCCGTCTCCCGGCCGCCCAGACCTGTATCGGATCTGGAAGAGCCTGGGTGCTTTGGACCTTTGGTGTTGTTCACCTTTAATCTGCACCCACATTCTCGTGTGCCCCGATACGCAGTTCTCTCTGCCCTGTGTCACAGCCCGCTAGAGGCAACTTGGGGGCAGCTGCATCTCCATTCTCGTGGAAGACACCCCGGCTGGCCAACTCCAGGGCCTAAGTTGTATGTCCGCCCTCTGACCTCTGCCCTTTGCCCCTTGATTTGTGCTGCAGAGGGTTGGCTGTAGTGCCCCAAAGCCACCCCCCCGCAACATGCACTTTACCCTGGAAAACAACCTTGGTAGTTCCCGTTGTGGCGAGAAGGAGGCTGCCGGGGTCCCAGCCACAGAGGGAACGTGCGGATTTGTGAAGGGCCTAGGGCCTGGTTGGCTAGGTCTCAGGGCAGATGGGAGATAACTTTCAGCCTTAAAGGTCATGATTCAAAATGAACACACTGGGGAAAGTGGCCCCTAACCCCAGTCCCAGCTTCCCACTATGTGGTTACCTGAAGCACTGAGGGGGTGGTAAGAGCTCCATTCCTTGACCCCACTTGGGGCTGGCCGAGAGGAGAGGAGCCAGGAGCCCTGGGTTTCTGATCCTGTGTGACATTAAGGGCTTTTGTCTCTCTGTGACTCAGTTTTCTCATCTGGAAAATGGGGAGAAACTACTAGCTGTCTAGTAGGGCTTGTCTGCCATGTGCACCCCCAGCTCTTAGTACCCAGGATACTTTGGCTAACAACGCCAGGCTTCTGCCTGTGTGGCACTGACACAGTGAAGGGGGAGGGGAGACAAGAAAGAGAAAAGCCGACTTCAGTGGACCTTGAATGCTGTGCAGAAAACAACACCAAATGGAGTTGTTGGGACGGGGCGGCACTTTTGACCGTCTCAGTGGCCAGGGTTCTGCCCCCAGAGGCCAGCTGCCCTCCAGAGACTCCCACCTCAAATGCTAGAGATACCCTGCGGAGGGTCCCGGGGTCAGTGGGGGAGGTGGGCGGGGGTGTCTCCTCGGTCAGCGTGGCCAGTGGAGACGTGGCGTGAGGCCTCAGTGGTGAGGAGGCAAAGATCAGGGATGAAGGGACAGCGAGGGCCCTCACAGGGACAGCTGGGCACCTTCAGGGAGGAGGCAGCGTGGCCAGAGGCTGGCGCAGGAGACAGGGAGGCCGCGCCATCTCCGGGGAGTGCTGAGGGCGTGCGGAGGCCAGACTCCGAGGGCGGCCCCCTCAGGGTGCTAGGAGGGCCGGGACCCCTTTTCCTTGGGCCTCACCCGGTGTGTCTGCCTGCCCCCCGCAGACCTGTACTGTACCCTGGAGGTGGACTCCTTCGGCTATTTTGTCAGCAAAGCCAAAACCAGGGTGTTTCGGGACACGACAGAGCCCAAGTGGGATGAGGTGAGTAGGGGGGGCTGTCCCCAAGGGACCCCTGAGCTTGTCACCAACCGTCCCACCCCCTCCCTGTGCTCATCATGTCCTGCTAGCTGGGGTGGCCAGGCCAGCTCTGCCCCTCTCACCCCTCTGTCCTCACCCCTGCTCCTTTGACTCCTGATCCTGTGTTTGTGTCCCGACACGGGGTCCCAGCCCGGGCCCCAGACTCCCCTTCATCAGTGCTCCAGAGGCCTGTAGAGCTCCAGGAGGTGAGCGCGCTGCCCCATGCCTCGGGACAGGGTCCTGTGGGCCCTTCTCCCCTGCTTCTCAGCCTTGCGAAGTGGGACCCCCACCTGCCGGGGTCCACACCTCCTGAGGTTCAGGCCCCTTGTTCCGTCTTTCCTCAGGAGTTCGAGATTGAGCTGGAGGGCTCTCAGTCCCTGAGGATCCTGTGCTACGAGAAGTGCTACGATAAGACCAAGGTCAACAAGGACAACAACGAGATCGTGGACAAGATCATGGGCAAAGGGCAGATCCAGGTGAGGGCCCTCGTGCGGCCAGGGCACCAAGGCAGGGCTCGGGGAGCTGCCAGGCGGTGGTGCCACTTCGGAAGGCATCTTTGTCACTTGTCTTTGTGGTCAAGATGCTTGGCCTTCTGTGACTTGGGCTCAAAGCTGGTTTGAGAAAAGCTCCCCTGTGTGGTGGTTCTCCCTGCTGGAGGTGACGTCCTGTTCTAGCCCCAGACAGCCGTGTACGCCTGGCTCCTCCGGCTTCCGCAGCTGGCTCAGGTGGCTCGTCCACACTCCTGCAGGATGGACTGGGGGATGTCAGCTCCCTTTGTTTGCACTTCCTGACTTCAGTCTGTGGGTGGCCTTTCCGGGAGCACCGGGTCGAGGGCTCGGAGGCTGGCTCTGTGCGTGCCGTGTGGTGAGCAGGGTCCGCTGCAGGAGGTGGGAGGCCCCCACCAGCCACTGGACGGGCTGAGGGTCTGCTGGCCTGCTGAGGGCGTCTCTGACTTGTCACTGGGGCTGCTGGTCCTTACTTCCCTGTCCGTGGCTTTCACGGGCTGACCATCGGCTCTGTGGGTATCGGCAGGAGCAGGTACCGGGTCGATTCGGAGTGTACCTGCCTCGGCTGTGTTTCTTGGTGCTCTGTTCGTGTATGTGGGGAGAGAGTCCTTGTTTGCAGCCTGTGCCTCTGGAGATTCTTCCAGTTTTGAAGGTGATGCTGTTCACTCACCTGTGAAGAGGGTGCAAACGGGCAGGCGTGAAGCCATCCGCATTGCACTGCCACCTCGTGTGGCCTCACGCTTTTGACACAGGGTGGCCTGGTTTGAGGGCAGATTCTGTGACCGTGACACCGAGGGGAACAGTGACTGGCGTGCCCTGGGCCTGAGCCACAGGCGTGGGTGCTCTGGGCTTGTTAATGGTCACATCAGACAGGATCTGGGCGCAGGGAGCTGAAAGGCTTCTTTTTTTTGCAGGAAGCATTTGTTCTCTGATGCTTTGTTGAGGCTTTAGTTTGGGATCTGGCTCCTGGCTACGTGTTCTTGTAGCGTTGCCCCTTGGGGACCTGCGTGGGCAGCCTGCTCCCCCAATCTGTCTCAGGCTCTAGTGTTTGAAGGGGGATGGCTCCATTTGGTGGGGCCTGGCCATCTGCCTCATGTCACCCCAAGTTCCTGAGCACATCTTTTCCTGACACTGTGGGACCTGTGCCCCAGTCTTCAGCACTGTCTCCAGGGAGATGGCGTTGCCAGGCAACCATAAGTCAGTCCTTCATTATTTTACTCATTATTTAGGAAATGGGGGCCGAAGAGCGAAATCTCTCTAAATTCAGCCCTGGGAACCCACTTCCTGCAGGGGTAAGGAGTGGGGGGGTTCCATCTCCACACTCGTGGGCTGGCAGGAGTGATAGGCAGGCAGGCACGAGGGTCTGGGCTGGCCCGTCTGGCCCCAGGACACACCCAGCCAGGACACAGGATCAGCTGCCATGTGCCCCAGGCCTTGGGTGGCTGTGGGACAGAAGACTTAAAAAGAGCATCCAGCACTGCCACGTCCCCTGGGCCCTGGCCCCTCCAGAACCCAGACTCCAGGGCTCGATGGCGTCGCCCACCTGCACTTTGGCCCTACCGCCTCCTCCTCACTTCTGTCAGCAGCACCCGCCCCAGGGGAAATACCGTAAATCATTACATCTTGGAGACAGGAGCAGATGGAGGCCGTGGGGGGAGGGGAGAAGCCAGGTTATGTTTGGCAAAGCAGATAGAACAGTCTGCTAAGGAGAATGTTTCTGTGTTTAAGCTTCGAGGAATGTTAAATGCCTGCGAGTTGATATTAAAAGAAACACAAACCTTCCTGCTGCCAGCTGACCTGGGCCTGTGAGCCGCCAGTTCAGAGCTGGCGTCCCCTGGAGAGCTTTGAAGTCCCCCAGCGCTCCACCCCCCCACCCCCAGGTGCAGCCTTGGTGCAGCTCAGCCACGGCCACGGAGCCTTCTTCCCTTCTTCCTGGCCTTCCCATGAACTGGGGAGGGGGAGGGGTGGGCTCACCAGGGCTGTGCTGTGCCTTGTAAAGTGCTGATCACCCGTGACTGTCCTCAGAGACAGCCCGGATGACCAGACAGCGGAGAGGGCCTGCACCCAGCCCTTCCCACTTGACCTGGCCCCACAGAGCCCTGGGACAGCCTGTTCCCACAGCCCGCTGCCACCTCCTTTCCTGTCACGTGTCCAGGGAAGGGGATCTAGCAATTTGTTCTGCTCCCCTTCAGCAGGCGCCGTGGATGCAGCTGAAGGTGGCCTTGCAGCAGGGCCAAGTCCGTGGGGGCGTTCAGGTGGCCTGAAGACACGGCAGGGGGAAGGCCTACCCTTGCTGCCTTCCTTCCCTGCCTCTTTGCAAGCCCCTCTGGCTCAGCCTCCAGAGAACATCCAGTGGCCTTATTTCCCAAGCTGCAGGCATTTGTCCCCGTATGAGTCCCCCTCCCCGAGTTTGTTTAATAGGCAGTGGGGCCAGGGCACCTGGAACTGGAGCAGTGGGCTGGTGGGGGCCGGAGGGGGGGCAGCACTTAGTGACTGGCAGTGCTAATTACCAGCATTATCTTGTGACCCTTGCAACGGGTCTGCAAGGAGAATGACGGCTGTATCCTCCCCATTTTACAGATGAGGACACTAAGACCCGGGTGTGTCTTCTGAGAGTGCACAGGGAGGGCCGCGCTCTCTCCTTTTGTGCCATGTCCCTGTGTCCCAGGCCTTCACCTGGGAACCTCCCAGCCTGGGTGAGTGCCCTGGCCTCACCAGCAGCCTGGCAGGGTAGTCGGGGTGGTACGTCCCCTGCCCCCCCAGTGCCCTGCTTTATGGCATAAGGTGAGCCTCAGGCTTCTTCTGCCCGGAGAACTCTTACCTCTGGGCAGGGAACATTTCTGTTCCATGCACCTGGAGGGAAGCGTGTATGAAAAACAGCCAGGGGGCGGGGCTTTCCTGTGCCAGTGCCGTGTGCCCCGTGCAGCTGGCGGCTCCCAGTGGTGTAGGGGCGTGGTCTCAGGGAATTAACTGCCAGATTGGAAGACAAGGACATCGACATATTTCAAGCCACTAAAGAACACAGCAAAACAGCAGTAACGATGGTGATCACATACATCAGAGAGCTGACTGAGCCCACACTGGGCTGATGCTCACAGCACCGTCTCCGGGGACCATCAGAGGGCCTTGTGCGGTAGGAAAGTCATCACAGTTTCACGGATGAGAAACCTGAGACCTGAAGGATGAAGTAACCTGTCTAAGGCCAGGCAGCCACGCGGGCAGGGCAGCCAGGGCTGGAGGCAGGCCCGGACCAGACCCAGGCCTGGCCTCTGCTGCTGCCCGCTCCGGCCCCCCCCACGCCCGTGTGTCGTGAGAGGAAGCCTGTGCCAGGGGGGGTCAAAGAAGGAAAGAGCCTCCTGGGCTGGAGCGAGGGAGGCTTCCAGGAGGAGGTGGAGCAAGAGGGATTTGAGAGCACTGGGTTTTTTAAATTCCAAAAGAAATGTTTATATTGGAGAGAAGATGGAGTAATCATAGATTGACCTGAAACATAATCACCAACCATCCTGCTCCCACTCCTCTGAAACGGCCGTTTTGTTTTGTGCCTTCTCCGCTCCTTGAGCATGCAAGATTTTATAGAGTTTTAATCACATGGTATATTTTGTATTTTTCCTATTTTCATATATCATCATAAACCCCCTTTTTTCAAGGGCTGTATGTATGTAGTCTTTATGATTACTTTCTGTGTTACAATGTCAAAAGTACTTCATACGCTTTATCAGAGTCGTTTTCCACAGTGACCAGCCCGTGAATTGCTTGTTTTGAGTCTTTGTTTTTCTGGCGAGGTGGCAGCCCCTGGCTCAGCAGAAGGGGGCAGGTGGGCGTCCGGGAACAGGGAGGCAGGAACAGCACAGGGGTGTCCCGGGGAATTCAGGAGCCTGCCTGCCCTGAGCGGGAGAGCTTGTGAGCAAGAAAGTAAGGGGGAGAGTGAAGGATGACTAAATAAAAGAAGAGGGTTTTAGGCGAGAAGGAATCCTAGGGGATGTTCAATCCCATCTTGTTTTTTTGAGGAGAAGAAAACAGGCCAGAAAGGGGGGTGACGTGGCCACCGTCACATGACACCAGCTCCGAATTCGGGACCCAGCCAGGTGGTCACACCTGGTCAGCTGCCTAGCAGATGAGTGCGTGAAAACACTCCTAGAGGGGGCGGGGCAGACTTGGAGGCAGTCTGTGGCCATGGGGGGTTTGTCCTTCCTCGCTACTAATTTAGTGCAACATGCATTTCTCCCCCGGGCTCAGGAGTCCTTCCTTTCTCCCCTAGACCTAAGGGCCTGTGCCTCGGTTCTTTATCCAGGCCACGCCCCTCACCCCCGACTGTCCGCCGCCTCCTCCCTGCCCCACCCCTGCCTGGCCCTGGAACAGCTCGGGTGGAAGGCGCCCCCTCCCTCCTCCTTGCCTCCCAGTTTCCCTGGGGAACTGCTGTGTATTTATCCCAGTCTATTTCCAACCACTGCTTCTCCAGGTTCCAGATGTGCTGTTCCCAGCAGGGACCTACCCACTGGCTGATTAGCATATTCCCAGGATCTAGCCCTTGTTGGCTGGCTGGGCCAGAGGGGAGAGCTCTTCCCAGGGACCTCACCGCTCAGGTCCTGCCACCAACGCCTAAGAGTACCTAAGCCAGAAGAGTCTCTCTAGGTTCCTGCTCCGTCATTCCTGGCTCAGCCACAGCCTGAGGTGTCCCCCTCGGCTCTATTCCCTGCCCTCGTCCCCAGAGTGGGAGGTACCTTCTCTTTCCTAGGAGCCTTCCAGGGGCAGCCCCCCCTGCATAGGAGTACTCAAGACCCCGGAGTGGGAGAGGCAGGGTTTCAGGCCTGCAAGGAAGTCCCAGCTGTCCCTGCTCCGGGATGGGAGCGCACCTTCACCCTGTCACCAAGTCCAGGCCTGACGGAAGCTTGCCATTCTCGACCTGGCCACTTGGAAGCGTGGAGGGGTCAGAGCTATTAGAAATGAAACTCTGGCTACTGGGAGTGTCC